GAATAGAATGGACACTTTTTGGACCCAGAAGTTGATGGAAACATCTGCAGGAAAGGCCCCAAGGATTTTTTGGCTGTAAAAACCCATGGGTTTCCCGTATCCATGGATTTTAGGATCTGAGACACTGATTTTGCCTTCAAAAAAAATGATTTTTCCCCCAGTATTTTATGAAAGTAACCCTCAAGCCTGAAAAGCCACCAGTTGCTGATGTTATGTGTGGGCGATATTCTCACACGAGAGGTTCAAAGTTCAAAGGCTTTTCAGTTTCACGTCCCAATCAATGGCCAAATTTATTGTCCCAAAGATACCCGCCTGTGCTCAGTCCTGAACAAACCGAACCTTTTTTTTGGGGGGTCCACGTAAAGGGTCATAATGATTGAAGCGACGGCATTAAGCAGCAACGGGTGATGGACCATACATCATAAGAGACCAGTTTTTGAATAAACCCATATTGACTGGTTGGGAACCCGTGTGTTCTCAAATACCTTGCTAACAATAGATCTTTTATTGCAATAACCCAAAAAACAAATTAATTTCCTACTAAAACACTACCACATCACTTTTCTTCTATTTTTTTTATATAAGACACCTAAATTGGGCATAGATTTCGGAAAACCCTATTCTGTTTTGATTTATTGGGAATCTCCATTCAAAGCATCTTATTTCACTTTGTCGAAAAATGGGCTATGCTCCAAATCCACTGGTTATCAAAACAGTCGCCATTGATTGGGGCTAGGTCAGACAGAGCCCAAAGCGGGGCTTCCCCAAAATTGGGCACCCAGAAGACTCCGAATGGGGGTCTTCAAACATTGGCGAACCCCCTAAACCACAAGAACTACTAATTAGTCAAGACAGGTAAGGAAGTCCCATGGTTTGGGAGTCTGGGAGTCTACATCACCCAAATACCATTCATTTCTTCGGTGATCCAGACTAACCACTTACTTTACATTTCAAGAGTTGGTTTATCAATGGTACATTTTGAAACCCTCACCACCAAACCAACATAGATGTGGAAAACCATGGAAAAAACCATCTACATGTCGTTCATTTCCCGCCGAACATGGTGGAAAACCCATCCTACACATGGTGGGATTTTGAGGTCCAACGTCTGATGTCACGTCAGGTGAGCTGGAGGATTCTGAAGACTCCGCCTGGCCCAACTTCGAAGCCACAGGCGCTGAAACTGGGAGGGTTTACCAACCCTCTCAGGTCATCTATGGAGGGTTTCAGATGGGAAAATATAGGACAATCATCTATAAAACGTTCGCACACTGTCAAATTACCAGAGGGTATTCCCATCATATTGCCATCTTGTCACCATTTTGCCATATTTTGCGGAGTTATATCATGTTAAATCCCCAATTTTGCCATGGTAAATTCCAATGACTCTTCCCGGAAGCCGGCCTTCGGCACCTTTCCACAGCTGTGACGATCCCAGGTTTTTTGATGATTTGCAGCAATTGGCTGTTTTTTATATGTCTGTTTGTTGCTTCATATCTTCAATCACATGATATATAATGACATTACATGCCAGAACGTGTTGCTTATCCCAGCAAACTGCGTGTTGGTTGGAGGGAGCTGGTGGGTGCACATCCCCAAACTGGGCTTTTCCCCGCGGCCAGGTGCTGATGATGCTGGCATGTTGACAGGCATTGTGAGATTGGGATTTGGATTGCCCTGATGGTAGATGACGATCATCGACCTCGGTTTGGTGAATGGGTTACATATTGGCCACAAATTCAATCATAGAGTTTCAGCCGCATTTCCCAGTTGTAATGCAAAACGAACAATCGTTTGGATGTTTGAACAATCTTCGACATTCAAGACATCGCACCGCAGATTCTGGTCATGCCGCAGCTTGGTTCCAGCTTCACGTGCTTCCGCCGAAAATCCTAGGCCTCCGGGGGACCAACAGGAGCAACAACTTGGTGGGCGCCATGGCGTTGGACTTAGGGAATGCATGGATAGCTTTCTTCATGGTAGTTTTGGCTGGCCTCGCAACTTGCTTGGGTGCCTCTGCGGTGTTCTTTCACAACTGCGTTACCAGGCGGCAATTGCAGCTGGATGGTTTTGGGGGGCGCTTTTTCAGAAATCATGGATGCACAGTGGTGCAAATTTTAGGTGATTCGGACATTCTTAGCCAGATTTGTATAAGCGTGTTTTTTCTCCTGTTGCTTGGGATTCCAGCATTTTTGCCAAGACATGCTGCGGGTATTTGCTTTGTGAGTTGGCAATCACAATCTTCAACGACGTTCTTGCAGACATTTTCTTGACTTGCTACCAGTGTCGGTTTTATCTATACGTCCTGTTGGTTTACATCATTCTTCATTATATACACTTTTATTCCTACAAAGGCTCTTTCCTTGTTAATTGTATCAGCCAATGATGATTGGTAATATTCAAGTTGACACGAGTCATGGCAAGCCAGGCCCAGGTAAATCGCTCGGGTTTGTCTCAAACATGAAAACAGCACCAATTTGTGACAATTTCGTGAGAAAAAATCCAAGGGTTTTTGGACAATCATTCTCATATTGAGGAGTAAATCCGACATTTTGAGACATGACAAACCCATGGGGGAAAAGATGTTTCACTTATTGTTCTTACGCCAACATGATGCGAGTGGCAGCCCTTTTCTTCGTGGCAAAGTTGGTCTCTCAGCCTAGGTTTCATATCAGCAACTGACAAAGTTATGATTGATAAACTCTTCATAGGGGATGGAGATCCCTTGGTCCTTGTTTTTTGTTTTCGCACATGTCGATCCTGGGTAGGGTGACCGCTGACCATCTTCAGAACCCTAAACTATCCTCCTTGTCGTCTCATTTCACCATATTGCTGCATCACTTTGTCTCACTTTGTCTGCTGCTTTGTTGAAGTTTTCTCACCTCAGCCAGCATTCCGCTGTAGAGAGGAACTGCGAGCTACTGCGGATGTGTACTGTAACTCATGGTATGGCTTGGAGGTACTGATATCAGAGCTACCGAATGCTTGCGTTTCCATCACTTGGAGGTCAATCAGCCTAATCAGCCCCTAGATCCGCGGAATTCTCTCGTTGCTGGAAGATACCAGACTTAGTGTCCAAATCACAGCTGGTTACATAATGTTACATTCCATTTTTGAGGTGCTTTGGAAGGACTGGACACCCAGGGTCAACTTCACCTAGGTGAAGTTCGCCAGCAAACGCATGCTGGCGGGCTCCCTTGGCTTCTCAGCTGGCATCATGCGCCTTGGACGCCTTGGACCAATCCATAGGGCCTTGGGGCTACCCCCATTTTTTCATCCAACGCTATGACGATTTCAAAATGAGGGATCCAATGGTTGTTTGAGATCCCTCATTTTTAAGACGTCCCCCATATTTTAAGAGAAAGTTTTTTTTTTAGATTTTAAAATGCGGGTATGCGGGTATGCTTGGTATGATTTGTGATACGTTGAAGTAGTTATATAATTCATGTCAATATTTCGGATTCTCAAAGTCACTTGGGTGTAACATTTTGAATTTTGTGGTCGAAGAAACACAGTTTCCTGTAAAGTTTCCGTGAAACTCAATGAGTCCAGAATGGAAGCGTAATTATCATTTTTTTGTTGTATTCCTTTTTCATTTCTTTTGACTTAAATCTGGCTGCTTTTGCCTGTGCTCTTCTTTTCCTACTTATTCGCTTCTCTGCTTCTTTGCTTTTCCGCTTCTTTGCTTTTTTGCTTCTTTGCCTTTTCGCTTCTTCGCTTTTCTGCCTCTTCAATGTTCCGCTTGTTTGCTTTTTCTATCTTTTCCTGCTTCTTTGCTTTTATGTTTCTTTGCCATTTTTTCGTGCCTTAAATGCCTTAATTGAACCAAGGGCTTTAACGAACTGTAAAGCCTTAAAACAACTCTGAAAACACTGAATTAGACAAACCTAAACCCACCCTAAATAACCCCTAAACCAACCTTTAAAAGATCCCAAACCGACCTGACATATCCTGAAATCAACCCCGAAGTAACCCCAATCAAAAGCCTAAACCAACCCCAAATAAACCTTGAACCAACCCTAAATTCACCCAAGTAAACCCCCACCAGAAGCAAGAGCACAAGCACAGGCGTGGCCACAAGCAGCAGCATTTGCAACACAAACTGCAAATAGCATGGCAAAGTGTCAAAAACACAACCAAAATGCACGACTTCAACCGAAAATACCAGCTCCAACACGGAAAATCAACGGGAATCCAGAAATATGCGGGGTTATCCTCCAAAAAGACCCCCAAAATTCACTGGAGATATCATGATATTTGACACCCGTCCAGAATTGGTGGAGCCCAGGCTCTATGTCTCCTTCATTGAAATCTTTCAGAAGGCGCGGAGACCCGTTCACTGGTCCCTCCGCGGGGCATGCCTTTGGAGCGTTTCCCTAGTGTGGAAGCGACTTCAGAATGAGTTGACCATATTTTGGACCTTTTTGGACCCAGAAGTTTCAGTCAAATCATCCGATGGCATGAAGGAAATCGAAAGAAATCCAGTACAAAGTGGTGCCAGTCATGTTTGTTTAACCAAGCCATGGATATCATCGGACACCCCAAGCATAGTTAAGCAGTTCAAACCAAGTGTGCTATGGGGCACCACTGTAGCTTCAAGACATTCAAGACATGGCCCAACAGGCCAACACGGGTTTTTCAAACGCCGGATTTGATGCTTGGCCAGTGGAATTCCTGGGAGGCCTCGGAATGTAGGAATTTCAGCCACCGAAAAGCCTGGTGGTGATTTATAGATGGGGAATCCTCCGCAAAATCGCAAAACTATGCCTATGCACAACTCATCTGGTTTGGCATGCATCATAACACAAATGATTTCAAATGATCCAGATTGTGATGTCTTCCCTTTGGCACCACTCACAAGCGGAAGCAAACAAATATCCTTCCAGTCATATTCCAGTGATTTGGGACGTCTTGGGACCATGTTTTTCCGACGGAACATCCACCTATTGGGGCACCGCAACCCACGTTCTGGCGCCACCGCAGCCGGTAGTTCGTCCCTGTGATCCGTTGACGTAATTTCACGGATCCGGGAGCGTTTCACCACATGAACCAGCTATCTCAGATGCCGCTGGGTGGCAGTTGGGGGCTGGGTTTGGACCAAACTGCAGGTTTGGAACCTGAAAATGTGGGGGGAAACCCTATGCCATCATATTCCGTTCACTGGTTGATTGTCATTTTCCCTTAATGAGACTATTTTGTGGGGTTAGAATCACCATTTTCAAAAACACCCAAGTCTTCGTGTCATTTTTTGGGCAGCGAATTTTGAGCGAATTTCCACACTTCCAGGGAGAACATCGCTGTCACTGCAGAAATGACTCATTCATGTAGGGAAATATGAACCAGAGATGGAGCCTATGGGCCTATAGGATTATATATTGTTACCTCATTTAACTTTTGGAGATGCGAACATAAAAGTGCTGTTTCAGTCGCATTTTTTCCCCTCTTGAAATCCATGTTGGAGCCTCGAACGTCATCTCTTTTACTTGCTGGTTTCGAACTTTTTAAGTATAGATTTTGGAAAGCTGTGCGGAAATCAGCTCAAGACATCACTTTCCATTTTCGAGAGTCCATTGATTAAATGCTAACATCATTTATACACACGATCTAACATCATATAACATCATCTATATGGAGGTTTACAATCCATGGGAGTACCCCCAAGTCATCCAAGTCGACGATTTTAGTATTGAAACCCACGGTTACTTGACTCGGGGATCCCCACTTTAGCCATAGCCAATCTTGGATACCCATGCCCATTTTTATTAGGGGAAATAGATGGTTTCATAGTGATTACTCAGAAAAATCAACATAGTGGTACCCGATTTTCAGACGAAGCATAACAACTAATAAATTAATAGTGTACCTGTTGGTTAAATAGGGTTAAATAAACAATTAACATGGTGGTAGCAATTGAAATATAACTTTCTTGACTTTCACCTAAGAAGTCCAGAGTTTTTCCGTCGTTTTTTGCAGAAAAGGTCAGGAGAAGACCTGGGAGCGCTTTCCGAGGTGCCTTCTAGCCATGGGAATTCCTGGGGTGAAATCTGTGGGAAAACATATGGGGAAACATGGGGAACATCTGATCTTCCAAAGAATGTCAAGGTATGTCAAGGTCGTTTTTTTCTTTTTTTGTTCCGGACCATTTTGAGTGGGGAATATGAAGTAGTTTTAACTGGTGGTTTCAAGTAGTTCGACCTGACTTTTCGAAAGAGCAAACTGATGGAGTGTGCAAGTCTAAGAATCAAGGACTATATTAGGGTGTTTAGTTTGATTTTTATATGGATATATGATATATGGTGTGTACGCATAGCTTTATTTGGATTCAATGAAACCTCCAACTCAATGCGGATGGCTTGGAGAGTTTTTGTTTGACCAGCCATACTGTTCCATTAGCTGGCTAGATCCGGGGTACCCAGATACGAATTGGAGCACCCCAGTATCCCCCAGTTGGGGGACTCGCCAACCATGATAGACATCCACTTCAGCAGGGTCCTCTTCAGTGACAAAGGGACCCATGGCGCCCCAAAGAGTGTCCAGGAGAGGAGTTGATGTTTTTTCGTTCACCGAAATGGGTTGAGTTCCATGTCAAATTTTCTTTTGTATACTTTTGTACCTGTATTCTTAGAGCTGTAATTCATATGATCATCTGTTAATTTCTTGAGGTGTATCTAAATATTTCACAGCTGGGCTATGTTTTTTGACGGATAAAGACGGATTCGTGTGGTAAGTCCAAGAATTAACCAGCCCACCGCGCCCAACAAAGGTAACGACATCACTGGCTCTTTAGCTACACCCCAGAGATATACCTGCAGGTCAAAGCTAGCCAATCCAGTGATCACGTCGAGTAGCTTGGAGTCGACGTCAAAGCCCGGGATTTCGGGAGACTTCTTCGTGGGGAGATGTAAAGAACAACTGCTTTTCTTTTTCGAAAACAGCACTATTGGCTGGTCATACTCGAATATGGAGACTTAGCCGGAAATGAAAACTGTGGACCCCATCACCAGGACCACTGCATCCCAACATTAGGATAGAAGCATAGATTGGGACAGGCTTTGTCTGAGAATAGGATAGCCATGGGTAATGGAATCCCATTCTCTCATTCCACCGGTGACTAGCAGAGATCCATCCACCGGTGACACGCTCGGTGAGTTCTCACGGCCAAACCAATCTGCCAATTCACCAGACGATAATGAGGTACCGCAAAATGGTGGATATGGCAATTTTCATTGGGAATATGAATGAACTGGAGGATAAACTCTGGGATGTGATTGGGTTCCAAATTTTCAGACACACCCATGTCGATTACCAGCACTTCTCGTAGTAGTGTAAATCCTATCAACCTTTGTGTATGAGGAGATTGCAACTACAGCTTTGGACAATGATTACCCTCCGGACAACTCACCAGAATGGGACAACTCCGTTTGCCGAACTTTGAAAACATGGGAAAACCATGTTGAAATTTTGAAAAGCCTCTGGTTCAAAATCCTAGCAGCATCCCTTTGGTACTGTACCGGAAGCGCCCAACTCATCTGGGGATGGGTCAAAACCATTCGAAACCTATGACATCTATTCCATTTATTACCACATTGAGGGGAATAAACATCATGAAACATCATGAAACATCATGAAACATTCCGCATCGATTTCTTCAGGTTGCCTTCGATCCAGCTGACTCTGGCTCAGGCCCCTTGGGGGGATGCCAGACTGAATCTGGAGAACCATCTAATGGAAAATCCTATTGAAATGGATGATTTGGGGGTACCCCCATTTTAGGAAACCTCCATTTCTATAGTCTAATGATCCACTATTTCTATGGTATAATGATCCAATATTTCTATAGTTTATGATCCAATATTTCTATAGTCTATTGTCCAATATTTCTATAGTCTATGATCCAATATTTCTATAGTCTATTGATCTAATGAACCAATTTTTCTGTAGTCTAATGATCCAATATTTCAATAGTCTAATGATTCAATATTTCTATAGTCTATGATCCAATTCCAATATTTCTATAGTCTATGATCCAATATTTCTATAGTCTATGATCCAATATTTCTATAGTCTATGATCCAATGAATACAGTCCGATTCCGCAACTTCTCCGGATTGCGCAACTAGGATTGTGCAACTAGGATTGTGCAACTCTTTGGTCGGATTGCGCAACTAGGATTGCGATACTTGGCTTGCGCAACACCCAGGATTGCGCAACTTCCAGGATTGCGCAACTCTGCTTGCGCAACTCGTAGCATTGCGCAACTCTGCTTGCGCAACTGCTTTTGACAGATTGTGCAACTCTGCTTGTGCAACTACGCTGGCCGGATTGAGCAACTCTGCAACTACACTTCCTCCAAACAATTCCAGCCCCCATAGAGCTTGAAAATGACACGTGCCGTCCACAAGAGCAAGACGTTATCCAAATTCCCACCCCCATGGAACTTAAAACTGACTTGGGGTGTCCACAAGGTTAAGACGATATCAAAGCTCCCACCCTCATGGAACTTAAAACTGACTTGGGGTGTCCACAAGGTTAAGACGATATCAAAATTCCCACCCGCATGGAACTTCAAAGTGACTTGGAGTGTCCACAAGGTTAAAACGTTATCACAGTTTCCCAACCCAATGGAACTTCGAACTGACTAGTGCGTCCACCAGGTTAAGATGATATCAACATTTCCACCCCATGGAACTTCAAACTGACTTCGAGCGTCCACAAGGTTAAGTGATATCAAAATTCCCACCCTCATGGAACTTCAAAGTGACTTGGAGTGTCCACAAGGTTAAAACGTTATCACAGTTTCCCAACCCAATGGAACTTCGAACTGACTAGTGCGTCCACCAGGTTAAGATCATATCAAAATTTCCACCCCACTGACTTGGGGTGTCCACAAAGTTAAGACGATATCAAAGTTCCCACCCTCATGGAACTTCAAACTGACTTGGAGTGTCTACAAGGTTAAGATGATATCAAAATTCCCACCCGCATGGAACTTCAAAGTGACTTGGAGTGTCCACAAGGTTAAGACGTTATCAAAGTTTCCCAACCCAATGGAACTTCGAACTGACTAGTGCGTCCACCAGGTTAAGATGATATCAACATTTCCACCCCATGGAACTTCAAACTGACTTCGAGTGTCCACAAGGTTAAGTGATATCAAAATTCCCACCCTCATGGAACTTCAAAGTGACTTGGAGTGTCCACGAGGTTAAGACGATATCAAGCTTCCCTGTGAAGATGATATCAAAATTGTCCACAAGATTAAGCTGAAATCAAAATTCCCACCCCCATTGAACTTCAAACTGACTTGGGGTGGCCACAAGGTGAAGACGATATCAAAGTTTCCACCCCATTGGAACTTGAAACTGGCTTGGAGTCTCCACAAGGTTAAGATGATATCAAAATTCCCACCCCCATGGAACTTCAAACTGACTGTGACTGTCCACAAGGTGATAAACGTCGGATTGTGAAACTTGGATGTCGCATTCTGGGACTTGAGGCTTTGCTTATGAAACTTGGAGTTTCACAGTTTCCTGATCTGTCTTCAGAGTTTTGCAGTGCCCGTGAAACAATTTCCCCCTAAAGTTTCACCATCTCTCTGCAGACTTGTTCCTCCCCATTATGTTTCCCTTCGTTGTTTTTCACCTGTTGGTCCCAGTTATGTTTCTTCCCCGCCTGTGCGCGGCCTCAATCCAGTTGATGGCCCTGCCTCTGCAGACATAGCGATCAATGTACCCACCATTTCTCATTTCCATCCCAAGTTTTGCTACTCCTTTGCCGGCTGCCGGTGTTTTGGAAAGCCTAAGAGCCCCTAGAGCATCCTAGAGCACATGACATGAGCTTTCAACTAAGGACACGGGGACTCTAGAAATGAACATTGTAAGCTGGTTTTAACCCTGGTTCACCTTGTGGTTTCAACACCTGGCCCAGAGAGCACAGGACATGAGCTCTCAACTAAGGACACGGGGACTGTAAAAATGTATATTGTAAGCTGGTTTTGACCTCGGTTCACCTTGCGGTTTCGACACCAGGCCCCTAGAGCACAGCACATGACATGAGCTCTGGAATGTAGAATTTTATATTGTAAGCTGGGTTTTAGCCCGGTTAACCTTGTAATTTCAACACCAGGCAGAGCACTGGCATGAAAAGCTCTCAACTTTCTAAATGTTTTCAATATATATCTAGACATGGCCTTCAAAGTGTGTGAGGGCAGGTGCAAAGATTCAGCTAAGGGCTCACTGTCATTTCATCAAGAGCATTCCCCAAGACAGAGTTGAGAAGTCATCTCATGTGCTTTTGTGCCGTACAAGCGCTAGCGTTAAGTCGTATCAGCTTGTAAAAGTCGTATCATGTTTCTCGACTGCGTAGGAAGGGTTCCCGTTTCACTCTGGGGGTCTGGGGGTTGAGGGTGTGTTCGCTCGACGTTGCTCAACCGTTCGCAACCGTCCGCAACCGTTCGCAACCGTCCGCGTGATGGCCATATGGCCGTGCCTATGGTAAGTTCTGCAGAAGGGGTCGTTTTTGGAGGTTTCATATGTGGTGTTGCTTCGTTTCGTGTGGCAGGCGTGGCACTTCGTGACATTCAGACGTGTTTTGTAACGTGTCGAAAATCGTTTTGTGTGGCAGGCGCAATACCTTTACGACGTTTTCAGAAGATGCGTTGCAGTTTTCAAGGCAGGCGCAGCACTTTGGACATGTCCATCCAGACGTGTCGTGTTGCGTGTTTTTTGCGAATCGCAATGGCAGGGCTGCGTCAAGTGGCGACAAGGTGCAGATTCCGTGGCAGGCGTGGCATTTTGTGAGATATGCTGAAAGAGGTTCCTAAGAAAACCCATAGGAAAACGTCGATTTTGAAGCTGCAACGTGTCAAAATTAGCGGAAGTCTCGCACGAAATGCTCGTTTTGTCTCGACTCGAGTCTCTGGCTTTCCTGTCACCTCGCCGTGTCTATGGGGGAAGCTGCAAAACCTTTCCTTTTCGAAAGTTTTTGTTGAGCAACACTTCGGAGATCTCTGTCGTCATTTTGCGTGGCAAGCACACTCCCCACACTACATTTTACCCACTGCACACTCCACACTTTACACTCCTCACTCCACCCTCTACACTCTACACTCCACACTCTACACTTTACCCACTGCACACTCCACACTCCACACTTTACACTCCACACTCCTCACTCCACACACTCCACACTCCACACACTCCACACTCTACACTTTCCACTCTACACTTTCCACTCCACACTTCACACCCTACACTTTACACACCCCACACTCCCCACTCCACACTTTACACTCCACACTCCTTACTTTACACTCCACACTCCACACTCTACCCTTTCCACTCTACACTTTCCACTCCACACTTCACACCCTACACTTTACACACTCCACACTCCCCACTCCACACTTTACACTCCACACTCCTTACTTTACACTCCACACTCCACACTCTACACTTTCCACTCCACACTGCAGAATGGTAACAGGGGAAATATGTACAAGAGTGTTCAAATAAACTATTGCAGAAAAGTGTTCTGCGTGACTGCATATCCATGTGTTTCGACATCTGTGCCATTAACATACGTGTGAGCATTCGGGTTTGTGGGCTGCATCTTGTTTTTTTCTTGGCTTCACCCTTGTTTGGCAGTGATGCTTGAACACATGACTTGGTCAGCGACCAAAAATGTCACATTGTCTCATGTCATCTGCTAACAAGGCCCAAAAATGGCGGCACACATAAAAATTCGGTTTGTCGACTACTCTCAAGTCATGTGCCTGCACATGTTTCGGGTCAAAACCATGCTCATGTCATTTGCTCAACGTATGGAGTAAAAAAATCTCCACTTATTCCCATCTGACCTTTATTTATATATATATATTTATGCATGTAGCATAATATATTTATATATATATATGTATTATATTTTATTGAAAATAATATATATATATATCAACAAAAATATATATAATAAAATAAAATAAAATATAATATAATTTAATATAATATAATAAGATATATTATAATATAATATTATATGATATACTACAATTTAATATACTATAATTTAATATAATATAATATATTATAATATAATATGATATAGTAAAATATAATATAATGTAATGTAATGTAATATAATATAATCTAATCTAATATAATATAATAATATATATATATATCTTTAATATAACATATATATAATAATAACTATATATATATATACAAATGTACACATATTATATGTATATATATATACATACATATTTACAGAAACATATAGACATTTTATAAGGGATGTAGGTATACTTAAAATGAAGGAATTGTTCCATTCAAGTCCACATGTGAAGGGCAGGTTCCCTTGGACTGACGCTGGCCCTTCATCACTTTGTTTTTCGGTTTACACCAGCCCTGTTTTTGCTCGATGGTCATAGCAGGTGCTCGCGGAAATAAGACAATCCAACGATGGGCTGATGCAGAAACTGGAGAAGTTGGAAGAAAAAGTGACCAGTGAACTGCAGGTGGGGCCTGAGCCTCTGAGGTTTGGGTTTGGCCCAGCAAAAAAGGTTCGTCCTGGGAACTGTCAGTGATAAAGAACCAATGAGCTTTCCAGATTTATTTTAATATGGCTGAGATGCATTTTTTCGGAAAAGGCCAAGGTGTTGTGAAATTCCCAAATTTGCATTGACCGCTCTGCGGGGAATTGGGTGGCTCTGGAACATCCCAAAGCTGAGTAATGTCTAGTTCATCTGACAGTTTCGTGTAGTTTCATTCATATGTGAATATGATATGAATTGTATGTGGCATGTCATGCCCTCTGGGCACCATATGGGGGTATGGGTATATATATATATGAAAATACCCCTAAGATTGGATTGTTAATACATCTTGAAATGACCAATGAACCGAAAATAGGCGGTTTTGCGGGCCTCAATCCTTGCCCCATTCCTGTCACCGGATCGGACCTGGCAGGGTGATCGAAAATGCACCAGGCTAAAATTACTTTCTTCGAGTGGTCCCCACCAAGTGACATGTTTTTTGACATACTATCTGGCATTCACATTTTATCTCACATGTTTTCTGACATTCTATCTGGTATATCTTCGGAGGTTCTTTGTGGTTGAGGTCCGGCGGGGAACACTCTGGCGCGGAACATTTTGAGCTTGCGGTGGAGATCCGGCGGGGAACATTTTGATCCAGAGGTTGCTGTTGGGGTCCGGCGGGGAACACTGCGATCTAGAGCTTGCAGTTGAGGTCTGGCGGAGGAGGAGGAAGGAGGAGAAGGAGAAGGAGGAAGGCGGGCCAGCTGACATAAAATCTAACAACCCTCACCTGGGGAAAAACGTCTGATTCATTGGAAGCTTCTGGGATTTGTGTCATGATTTTCCATTCTGAAGGGAGAAGAACGAGAAGAATGTAGAATATCAGATCGGACCATATTCACTAGGAGAACAAGTTTGAATTTAGAACCAGGAGGCACTGAATCTACTCCAAAATGATTGTATGTATTGTAATTGTATAGTAATCTTTCTTCGAGTGATCCCCACCTTGAAAAACTATTCTGACATAGTTTCTGGCATACCATCTGGAAGTGTATATGGCATATTTATTCTGACATTCTATCTGACATTCTTTCTGGCAGATATTGTGACATTCTTTCTGACAGTCTATCTGGCATCTATTCTGACAGACTTTCTGGCATATATTCTGACATTCTTTTTGGCATTCTATCTGGTATATCTTCGGAGATTCTTTGTGGTTGAGGTCCGGCGGGGAACACTCTGATCCTCTGCTTGCTGTTCGGGCCCGGCGGGGAACACTGCGATCTAGCAACCTGATCCTGAACTTGCTGTTCGAGTCCGGCGGGGAACACTGCAATCTAGCGCTTGCACTTGAGGTCCGGCGGGGAACACTCTGATCCTGAGCTTGCTGTTTGTGTGCGGCGGGGAACACTGCGATCTAGCCCTTGCAGTTGAGGTTCGGCAGGGATCACTCTGCTCCTGAGCTTGCTGTTCAAGTCCGGCGGAGGAGGCGGAGGAGGTGGAGGAGAAGGCGGCGGGACAGCTGACATAAAGTCTAACAGCCCTCACTTGACAGGTGGGGAAAAATACAATACCAGTAACAATAGAAGTAGCAATAACAATAACAATTGTTAAAGGGCTACGCCCTCCGCTGCCGACAGTTGGGCAAGTCGCTATGAGAGCAGATAGGGATAGCTGCTTGTGCCTAACGTCGCTCTCTGAATGGATTAGAAGCTAGCTCCAAATTGCACCTCTCAGGCCTCCAAAACGGACCCCTCGCCACACCGAAACAGCATGGCAATGAAGGACGGATTGTGACCTCGGCCTGCCGCTGCTGGTGTCTAACGTCGCTTTCTGAATCGACCTGAAGCTATAGCTCCAAATTGCACCTCTCAGGCCTCCAAAACGGACTTCTCGCCACACCGAAACAACATGGCACTGAAGGACGGATTGTGACCTCGGCCTGCCGCTGCTGGTGCCTAACGTCGCTCTCTGAATGGATTAGAAGCTAGCTCCAAATTGCCTCCAAAACAGACCTTTCGCCACATCAAAACAGCATGGCACTGTGACCTCGGCCTGCCGCTGCTGGTGGCTAACGCTGCTTTCTGAATCGATTAGAATCATTAGAAATTAGCTCCAAATTGCACCTCTCAGGCCTCCAAAACGAACCCCTTGCCACACCGAAACAGCATGGCACTGAAGGACCGATTGTGACCTCGGCCTGCCGCTGCTGGTGTCTAACGTCGCTTTCTGAATCGACCTGAAGCTATAGCTCCAAA